AAGTTATCAGTACAAAACCATCTGAAATGTATTTGAGCTGTTAAAGAAATACACAGAGTGAACCACATCCATCCCTGAATTCAGTATGCGGGATAAACGTGATCTGTGGAGATAAGCATCGATACTCACAGAAGGGCTTTTGTTCGGACCACATCTTTGCAATGTATTGCTCTTAATTTCAACAGAAACTAAAAAGCAGACAAACTACTTTTACAAAGTAAATTACTCCAGAGAGCATTCTGTGCTCCTGGACCCATAGTACAATAACTTTATACTACATAAAATAATTCATATATTTATATGTTTGATGGGGTGCAGGGAAAATAGCTGAAACCCACATGGATGATCAAGATACCTAAGACTACAGCAGAGTTTGGGGAGGGTGAGGAAGAGGAAGAAATCTGGCCCAAACAGGCAAGCTGCGAGGACTTACAAACACAGGGAGCGTTTGTGAATTTAAGGTATTTTTGGAGACTGTTTCAAGAATACTCAGCACCAGCCACAGCAGCAGGTGCATAAAAAATGGATAAAAATAAAAATACCAAAATGAATTATCAGCAGCATAAGCAGACTGTGTGGCAGCAATTACCTTAAACTACAATAAGAAATTAGACCTATGCTTTATAGTTAGTAGTGTCTATTACAGGCTTTGGTATAAATTAGAAATATATTTGTTGACCTGATTGTACTTAATGCTTCAAATATTTATATGAAAATTTAAGTGTAGGCTTGGACACCTAATTTTAGATATATACTCATTTGAAAATTGTGATCTGTATTTGCATCGTGAAATACTATACAGCCAAAGCACATCCTTGCAAAGAGCTTTTATCTCAAAGCAGAACTCTCATACCTAAAAGTGAAAGGAAAATAACGCAGGAATCTAGCAAAAAAAGGCACATCTAGGGCAGAAGTATGCACTATTAATTACTTTTTCATATTCTTTTTCACCCTTTGAGTTTTCTTCCTTTTTCAATGCAGCACTGAAAGAAGAAGACCCTAAGCTTGGATGTTTCCACAACATTTTGAGCTGGAGCAGGTAGAAGCAGCAGACCTGAACTGGTGTCAGTGCTGCTTTTACCAGTCACATTCAGACATACAGCCTTTTGGCCCAGATGTCCACTTTCTGCATTTTAAAATGCCCGTGTCACATAATGAGCTGGCATTAACTGCACTGACAACTGTGCAGAGGGTGTAGTTTCCCCATGAGTACCTCTACATATGCCAAGAGTTGTTCCCTTGGGAAACTCTCTTATGTCACTTTGATCTTGCCTACATCCTAGATAAAAAAGGAGCGACTTGCTGCTCACTGTTAACATTCTTCGTTTGTTTGAATTGTCAAAAAAATAACATAAATGACCATTTATCCATAAAAGCAATATAAAATACATGTTTTAAAGATACTTTATATATATAATTAGATATACACATGTTTCTGAATATGCATATTGGCTCCCTGTGAATGAGGTGGCTGGATAAAGCCCAGGATGAGGCAGGTGAGCCTGGCAGCGGTGTCAGGGCTCCCGAAGGAAGCAGCTGCCTAAGCCTCGGCTGGAAGCAGCCCAGCAACTCAGGGGAGAGGCAACAACAGGGAGACGCACTCGCTTGTCACCGAGTATTGAATTCACAGGAGGTTAAAAGCTAGAAGCATGAGAAGAAATGAGGTGGAGAAACCCCAAAGGCTTTAGGGGATCTAGTGGGTCACACTTGCAAGGCCTGCCAAGCACTCTTAGTTTGGCTAGAGTCGCTGCTCTACCATTACTGATACAGTTGGTTACATGAAGCCCAATTCTGGGGTAGATCTGTACTGAAATAAATGCAGGTTGAAAAAACAACTCAGAAAGTCACGCTTGGGTTAAAGTGCACACGTAAGACAAGAGAAAAAGTTGTCAGTTACTTACAGCCAGCCAGCAGATACTGGTAGTACTGCACGGCATCCGCAGCCAGGAGCAGGGGATGGTTTGCATTAAATGGTGGTTGGAGCTCATTCCACTGAGGAGTTCTGAGGTAAAACACAAGACTATTAATATTTAAGCTAATACAGAGAATGTAAATCAGTGTTTCTGTCATCACATGTAATTATCTATACAAGCTCACAAAATGTTTGTAATTATTTAAATTAGCTTGTTCAAACACTGCAATACACCACAGCCAGTCGAGCAGCAGGACCAAGTCACGCAGATTGTGAGGCAAAGACAATACTTGTTTGTCGACTGCAGCATGTATTGCGTAAAAAAAAGATGAAGGCGGTTTAGATTCAGTTGGTAAATATGTTTAGGACCATTGTGTGTCATGCTGATGTTATACAAACACACAAGAGAAGCTGGGGAACTTTTTTCTTCTGTTAACTAGCATTGCTTCGATACTGTAAAGTCATCGAGCATTTACAAACTGTGAAAATAAAGCTGTGTAAAGTTATGGACTATTGATCCAATTAGAATTTTCAATTCCATTACAACCTACTCATTTCAACAATAATGGTCTAGAAGTCTGTGTTGTAATTTTAATTAGGGTGGGCCATTCCTAAATAGCTTGGTAAATCAAGTATTGATCAATCTAGTCCAGCCATAAGCAGCACTAAGGAATATAGGAGCCACGAAAAATCGATAGAAAAATATTTTAAAACGTCAAAAGCACTGACAACACTTTCTCATCAATTTCTGTTTACTTTCTTCCACATGTCAGGAATAATTTCTTCAACTGTCTTAAGAAATGCTACCTTCAGCTACTTACAGCATAATTCACCTAATTCTTTGCAGTACTTCGTAGAGGAAACCTCACTCAGGTCTCACGGCAGGATTTTGTACTTTAACACTATTAAAATAATTGTTTCTAGTCCTTACATAAAAAGCTAAATTATGATCTGATCATTTAAAATAACCAACTGATAAGGATCTCTACTGATGTGTAAACAAGTTCATGTAGCTCCATGTCCTCAGAAGTGTTTAAGTGGTTTGCTCCCATTCGGACACGTAAGCACTAACAGAACTATATGAAGAGGAAGGCTTGAATTTGCTATGGAGAGTCCTCTCTTTCAATGGAAAACTTTAAGAGTCTTTAAAACAAACTTTAAGATAAAAACACAGGTGGAAATCACGATGCAGTTCATTCATCCCTTCCAAAAAATAGCTCACAATCATTTTCTGAACAAAAAGAAGTAGTAAAAGGAATGAGCTACCTAACCAAAGTCCAGCTGGCTCTTGGGCACGTCAGCATCTCCAAAGGGGTGTCATCGCTGATCTTCGGAGCGGTGCTGAGCGGCCGTGGCTCCAGCACGTGCTCCACCAGGCTCCCGTAACAGCTGATAATATACAGCGACTCCACTACAAACTGTTTCGATTGATCTGCTTGCAAGAAGAAAGAAAATCCTATTGCAATAGCACAGCAGAAACAGAAAAAGATGTTTACAGAAACAGCAGGCTCCTTATTGTTTCAAGTGTCTTGCCTTTATATGCTTGCAGTCAAAAATGTGAATTAAAAGAAGTGAAAGGGCTGGAGAGATAAAGAGAAAATTGTACAAAGCACACAATTTCCCCCTTGTTTCAAAAAACCCCTGAATATCCCATATAAGAGAAGGGGCAATAGAGTTTCTCACCAAGGTGCGTTCAGGTAAACATACGTCTGTACCTTTGCTTTAGCAAAGGTGTCTCATCTTTACCTCATAGCTTTTTCAGTGAAACTCCACGCAGTAGTTTTGGACTGAACTATCAAAGTTTGTTTTCTGTCATTATACCATAATAGAAGATCAATGATTTATTTCACTAATTAGAATTTCTTATGAATTGCCCTATTTACCAAAAGCACCCCAACCACGTTCCTGAAAATCACCATCACTGACTTTAAGAAAAACAAAAGCTACAGAGAAGCAACACCTGCTCAAAAGCTATCGCAGAATGAGAAAATAAAACAGAGAATTTAAATTTAAATGCAGATCTTGTTTTTGTAATGCACCAACCTTTCTCTCTTTTCAGACCAGGATTGTTTGCAAACCATGACCTTGATGATCCAAAGACTGCAGCGACACAAAACTCTCCTCCCACAGACTTACTGGGTGAAATCTGTGGAGCTGGTTTGGATTTGCTTAAAGAAAGAAGAAAAGAAAATTATGAAAGTTAACTCTCAAAAATTAAGATGTCCCTTGCTTAACAGTCATTCTAAGATACTAATTCAGAAGTGGTGAATATCTGCAGTTCCCATAAGATTTAGCAGGATTTACAGATGCTTAGTGCTTCTTGATAACAGCTCCCAAATTCTCCTTGATCACTGAACTCATTAACTTGAAGAACAGTACTGGCTCTTGATGGAGAACTGGTTGGATCGTTTAAAAGACCCATTATTGAATATTTCCATTCAATAGAAACACCTTCCAAAGTGAATACAAACATTTCTAATTGTAAGTCCTTTGGGAATGAAAATATAGATTCTGGGTCAGTCATTCTAGGCAGCTGGTATTTTCTTGCATTTTCAAAAGATACTGACAAATAATGCTGCCACTGACTGCTGATCAGCTGTAACTCAGCACGGTCCTGGCGCCATTGAAGCCACTGGGATGGACGTGACACGGACAAAGGGCGAGAGGGAACAACATGCAGGGGGTACAAGGGAAAGGAAACAACGCATACGCTCATGAGCTACGTGTTAAAACAAATCAGAAATTGCATTGCATAAAAACAGATTAAGATGCCTCCTCTTCCGCAACACCACAAGGCACATGTAGCTGACACAGTGGTTTATAGCTCCGTTCTGTAGAAACACCATTCAGTGTTCCTCCTTACAGGAATCTGAAGACACCTAACATCCTGCTTTGCATCAACTCAGAGCTATGTCCAGAGCATTGCTCACTTCCTCAGCTCATTAAACCAGGATTTCACCCTTTCCTTCAGAGAAAAGCTGTTTGAGAAGTTCATGCAGGATTCCTCCTTCTCCACACTCCCTCTTTTTAGTTGGATTATTTTATGTTTCTCTATAATCTATTTCACTGCTCCCTTCTCTTGCTACCTCTTCCTCTCTTCCTTTTCTCTATTAATTTCTTGTTCCACATTATATCAGCCTGTGATTACCCCAACACATTAACATTGCTGTTTTAAGTAATGATCGTCAATTCTAAGAAGTGTGTGTGCATACACGTATATGCAAACAAATTATTGCAAGTATTATGATGCAACTAAGCAGCAGAAAAATATTTAAACTCAGCAAAGAGCTATTCAAACACTATGCACAATTATAATGGCACTTGATTCATACTACTTTTTTGTTGTTGTTTATGGAAAATTACTTGTATACAGGTGAAGAGGTACAACAGAATGAACTGACAGGGATAGTAAACCAAGAACAGATTAGGAGTCAACATAATGTAAAGCAAATTAAACCAACAGTATTCTACAAACGGGGCTTCTCTCAAACTCCTGCACCTGGCTGCAGAGACTGCAGCTGCCCAAAGACCGAAACCTTGGTCCCTTGCAGCTCAGTCCTGATTTGCCCAAAATAAATGGCAAAACTCGCACTGAGCTCAAACCCTTCATTTCCTTCCAACAACGAGCTGTAGGAAGCGACACTTGGAAAATATGGCACATGGTGAAATACACAGAGCCTCCATCATTACTGTCCTGTGACTTGAAACATTTAAAACTGCCTTCAACATGAACCCACCTAAAGCAGCAAATGCTCTTGCACAGCATACTGGAAATGAGGTCATTTACCAAAGTGGGGGAAAGCACGACTGGTTTGCACTCACACTGCATTTTCATCCAGGTTTCTGGAAGCGATTTCCAGAAAGTGCAACTGAGCTTCCAAGCCCCTTGCACCGCCGGTTGACAGAGGGACTCGGTGGAGCACAGAGGGGCTCAGCCCCTCGCCATCCATCACTTCACATCACAGCAAGGCCATGGTCACACGCTTCAGTTAAAAGCAAAAAGAAAATCCCTTTCCAAAGGAATTCCATTGCACTGACCAGAGCCAGTGGAAAGATTCAGGCAAACCTTTCGTGGACCTGAAGCTCTCGTACATGCAGGAGAAGCTAGAACGTCCCAGAAGAGCAATTGCAATGTACAGTCAGTAACTCTGATATTGAACCACCACAAAGCACTTAATATCCAACTGTTAAAACTACGGCTACAGATTACTGGGTCAGAAACCTGTGTTCCAAAAAGTTCACAACTATAAATATATCACCTTGCTTGCAGTGGCACTTCATGGCCCACACTGCAAGATTTAAATTGATATTAACATATTAATTAGTTGCTAAAAAAACCCCAAACCAGACCAGATTTCTTTCATTTTGAAATAATCATCTGTCACAGAAGCTGCAATTTTAAACTGTACCGATAACTACTTCTAGCTCTCACCTTCCAAATATTCATACACTAATATTCCTTCAGAAATGAAAATTCAAACGTATGCACTAACCAGAGTCTTGTTACTTACTGATCTACACCTTAATCAATAAGCGACTGTAGTACAGAATACGATTGTTCAGGGCAGTGTTATCCATCAGCCAATACAGAACAAACTACGAGTGCAGGTACGATCCAGCAGTAGACACTTCCTCTTACAAATTCTTGAAAAGAGAATCTTTCTACACTAAATTAATATTCCGAATTTTACTCAAAACAATCTTGGGTTATGAAAATAATTTCAAATGGAAAAAACAATAGGAGCAAAAACGATTCTCAACTACAAACTGGAGTAAACTTCTACAGAGACAAAACTGACTTCACCCGTTTCCCCGCGCCTTTGGGGAAAAGCGAATGGGGTTCCCTAACAATGCTTTTTTGCAGGGTTCTCCACACTGTTCATCCCAAAGAACCATGCTCAACAAAATACAGATACAACCAACTTTGGAAGAAATGGTCTCAGCTACGTCGTATTCGCACCACGTCTTGAAGATGTCAAGAAGGCATGCATTTAAGTGCTGGTTTCAGTGCCAAAACATTTTCCTTACAGGAACGATGCTTTGTAGACAGAAAGCGCAGGTCTTGTAAAACGCAAATACTCATGTGGTTAAACTTAGCCCTGCTAAAAAACAAAGACAAGCAAAAAAACCCATGGCCAGTGCATCACTTTGGTTTAGATGTATTTCTGAAAACCCTGCTGAGATCTGAAATCTGTTGTACCTGAGGAATCCGTCGTTCTGCCACCATTTGACTTTGTCCCTGAGTTTTCATCAACACATTCCAACTCAGATTTCTTTCTTACAGTAAACCTCAAAAGCCCAGTTATTTTCAGTAACAGTAATGCCATTAGAAAAATACATTTTCGTGTCACTGTGATATTTTAACAACTTGGAAACTATAAATCCTCATTATTACGGAGACCCAAACACCCTCTCAGCTTTATAAATGATAACAAAACAATAATGTTGAAGGTAGGTGGTGAATGACTTGTTTCTGCTATGAACTCCTGCTCTTTACTTGCTCTTAGCCTGTCAGCACTTCATAAATTACCCCAAGAACTGGAATTAAGGCACATTTGGTCTCACTTTCAAAAACACTGAATTTACAAGAATCTTCACAACACACTAACTTTCAAAAGACTGAACAATATTTTTACTGAAAGGGGTTGCGATGCAGGAAGAGGTGCAGGTTGTTGGGAATCAACAAAAAAAAACCCAAAGTGAAGCTAACAAGACCAGAATGTTCACCCTCATAATTCCAATCCTCCACATTAGAAGCAGGGGCACTATATTTAAGACATAAGGAGGATAAAAAGGTGATGTACTTCTTCCTCTCTGGGTCTACCTAACTGTGTAACTACACCAAGAGTTCAATGAGACACAGCAGTACTTTTAGCCCAGTTGTACCTGTGCATAAACCTACAGCAAAAGTACAACAGCAATAAAAAACCCCTTTAAATGACACAGTTCTTGTTCTGCTATAAATTTAATAAGAGCTGTGCCTCAAGTGAAGTCTGTGTTCGTGTCATTTCAGTTACCAGCAGTTGACGATCACCTGTCCCAGCTGAAGTCAATGACAAAGCCAACTATCAAAAGTCAAACTAATCCCAAACTCCAGCTAAACACCACTACATTTGGGAAAGTTGTGTTGTTGATATTAATTCAATTTTTAAACATAATCTTGGAGAATTATTTCCATTTTAAATGGAGAAGGACTGAGATGTAGATGCATACATGTCCAGAGAAAAACATACATGAACATTGTCTACCGAAACGGCACAAAAAGGGATGGGAGCAAACTAAAGAAGAAAATTAAGACATCACTTTGTCAGATCGTAACAAGAAATGAAAAGACAACCACAGCATGCAAGTTCTTTCATGTTTCCTTACAAAAATCACAAATTATGACAATGTTTTAGCTAGTTTACACTTTCATTATTAGATATTTTTCTACTTTATGTAAGAAAGAATTAACAAGAATTAATACTATTAAAATATTTTGAAAACCATAGACAAGTATGAAAACCAGAGGCTACGCAGTACAGCAATGGAATGGTCCTCAAAGAACTTTATGTCTCATAAAATACTGCTGGCTCCTAGGTTTGTCCTGACGTTCATCATCAAACAAGTGACACGAATTAAAAAAATAAACTGCACATATATATATGATATGAAGGAACTGCTTTAATCAATCAAATACTGAGAATTACATTGGGTTTATATTAATAGGCTTCAAATACAACAGAGTCATAAAAACAAGAGCACTTATCCACAACTCCACGGCTAAACCCACTGGCACGGAAACGATACAATTTCTGAAGACAAAAGTTCTATCAAGACTACCTGAGCAGCAACAAAAGTATCAGGAGAAAAATACTGCGTGAAATTTGCGATTACACATGAAATTACTGGAAAAGCGTATCTGCTCTCAAAGTACATAAATTTTCATTGTTGTTGTGCCTAAAACAAAACAAAGACAAGTTTCCAGCTGTCAAATCAGGAATAAAGGAAGAAAAAGCAACAAAAGAAACGGTAGGCTCCTTTATTTGCCAGGCAGTAAGCTGTCAAATCTCCATTCATTTTGTTTACATAATTTTAGGTCTCATGAAGACCTTAATGGAAACAACATGATTTCTTCCCCCACCCAAAGTGTGTTTTTTATCCTAATTTCTCTGTAGGCTAGGAAGGACCATCTTTTTGAGCTAGCACTGGCATTAACCAAACCACAAAAGAGTCTTGTGAAAGACGGGCAACAATTTTTGACTCTATTTCATATATTCCCCTCTTTAATCTAGGCCTTTTAATCTTGCCTCAATCTAAAACAATTTTGGGTTGACAAGCATCTCTGCTGCTTCATGCGGGTGGTGCCCGACACATCATTTGCTAAGACAATCTGCTTCCAAAACTCCTCTTCCGGAGCCTTTTCAGCTCTCAGATCACCATCGGATGAAATACTTCGGTGCATCCTAAACGACGTTTAGAATTGGTTCTTAGGAAGACTGCCCCAGTCACCAGGTGTTCACTAGGAACAAGTCAGTGTCACCTTTTTGCCCTTAGCGCCTTTGTTTTCCTGTCTGGTCCAGCTCCCCTGTCCCTCCTCAGCTTCCTCTGCCCTTCCCTCGAGAACTCCACACCCTAACGAAGCTCTCTGGAAGTTCTTGCTGCTGAAGGCAGCATTTTGACAGGGACAGAAGGGAGCGATGCATGCGGAACAAACTCCTAGGAGTAGAAACAAGAACCATATGCAAATATCCTAATAGATACTGAGAGATACAAGCTAGTAATTCAGCTAAACTTAAAAACAAAACCCAACCCAAGCCAAACCCAAAAACCTCCTTGCTTAAAGTTTCTAAATTTTCTAAGGAAGTCATAAGATGTTCAAGCTTCTTCCATTTTTGTTGCCTCCTGCTGCAAACTTCAACCTCCTAACCTCCATCTCCCTACCAAAAGGTGACTGGAGGTTATGCAGCACTGTACAAATACTGAGCCAAGCTCCAACACAGGGAAACTTCTTAAAGTGTTTTTTTTCCCTCTATCTGTATTTTCTGTAACATGCTGCAATTTTACATATTAAAACTAAAACCCCTTATTATTTCAAATATTCTGATATTAATGGAACTGTGGTTTATTTATTTTTTTCTCAAGTGTGAGAAGCATCTTTTTATATTTTGAAGTGCCCATTTTACTACTTCATCTGTTTTACCACAGTACCTTACTGCCTATCCACTGCTAATCTGGCTTATTTTGGAGAGGTCATCAGTGATGTTTTCTGTCTGAAAGCAACTCAGTGCTACAGTAATAAAGGAACCTTTATAGAAAAAAAAGGCAGTCGTCTTAGAAAGTCATTGCAATCATTTTCGTCCACTGGGAAATAATTTATTTTTTCAACTTCTCTGTTAGTTAAAAATTAAATGCCCTCTCAAAGGTAAGAAAAAAATAAAAAGTGAATGCATTTCTTTGACAATGCTTGATAGTGAACACGCATCCATAATTTAAAAGTGAAATTATGCCGTGCTTCCACCTATGGATCAGCCATGCAAGTAAACAAATAAAAAAAAAATTAATCCAAAATTAAAAAGTCTAAGCACAGAGTTATTTTCAGTGAGGACAGCAGATGAATTATAGGCATGCTGGGTTTGAACTGGGAACTCACCATGGAGCTTTTATGGAAAAACATCCTGCTCCAAACAGGTAAGGTCTTCATGGAAAGGGGAAAAATGCACAGAAATTAGATGAAAACTCAATTACCAACAAGTACACTGTATATCATGCTATTAAGATTTATGCAGAAGGTAAACGAAATAGTTTTTTATAACCGTTCACGATGCCCTGAAGGAGATGCAGACTCCACCACCAGCAGGCCAAGGCCCACAGCCAGGCCCGCTCAGGCCAGGCCCCGCCACCGCAGCCACCCCTGGAGCAGGAGCCGGCAGGGCTGGGCCTCCACGCACCACAGCTGGGCCCAACGCAACGCACCACCACAGCAGGCCTGGCCCTTAGAATTCCAGTTAGACACGGGTTAGGGGCCTTCCTGACATCTCCTGACAAAGCTGTCGAGAGCCTTCAACATGACAGTAAGGGCAAAACGAATAGGAAAAGTAAATTAGCACCAAGAACAACAAGTATGTGGGTGTTTGCCATGAAACACTGAAAGTTTGAGTGGGACAGGTTTACAAATTTACAGGAAAGAGGCAAGTCCAAAGTACGACAGGTACAAGCACAACCTTTTCGAGAAAATTACTCAGCCCTTTTCCTAGGACAGAAGCATACTATTAAATTAAAAATATTTAATAGACTGCATGACACAGCAACCTTAATCCCCCACTTACAAGCTTGCGTAGAATGCAGGAAAGAAAGCCCTAACTTATTTCAAATGTATTTGATGTTAAAAATCATCCAATACAGAGCTTAATGTTTTTGGCCACTTAACAACTTATCTACATTATGATTTCTTTTTCTTCTTGTTCAGGCATTTTGCATGGCCTGTAGCTGTTCCAGTGGTATCACATGACATTAATTTTAGTGCATTTTTAATGGTTATCTATATCCCTTGTTCTTCACATCACCCTGCAAAAAGCCATTGTCATACTGACATTTGAATAAAATCTGAAAAGGAGGAACAGGAGGTAAATTTAGAGCTACTCACATGCTCAAGGCTTCTTTGGTTCTCATTTGGGGTGGAACATCATCCACAAAACTGCTGAAGAATTGATTTTGTAAATGCCAATGTGTCATTTTGCTTTTTGTACTCTGACTCAGGGATAAATTCTGGCTAACTGAAACAAGGGAAGTATTTTCAGGCAATCTGACCGAGAGCTTCAGATTTCTAAATTATGATCCTGGACACTGTGTAAAGCATGGGTTTTTTCCTCTTTGCCTCAGTTTCTCTGCTAGCAGGCAAATGACATCAACCTGAGCTCATCAGAACATTTTAGAAGATAACATAGGCTTTTTTGCTTTGCACAATATACTAAGTCAGCCTGAGTAAACTTGCAAATGAACAAATTCTCTCTGTTGTAATCACAAATTCACTCAGGTGGATATATGCTTCAATGGAAGGTTTTGATTGTTTGCTTGTTTTTAACAAAGATACAAAATCCTGTACCATGATGAAAAAGTAATTACACTTCAAAAGACTACAGCAGAGTCTTAATAAAAAGCCGCGTGAGAGAGATGACTTAGTGTTTCCTTTATGTTCACCAGACTTAATTTCTTTTAAGATGACCACTGTTTTCTCTATAATATTTATAGAAGCAATTGTTTTTCACTATTTCTTGACACAGCATGGATGGTGTGCTAATTGAGAGAAAGAATGTACAAATTACAGGATAACCCAACCTTGAAAAGACAGCACCAGATGGCCACGCTCAGTGACAGTAACAGAGCGAGGCCAAGGCAAAAAACTCACTGCGGTTCCCCCCTTTCATAGCCAGGGAGAAAATCCAAGGGAAAATTGTGGAATGAAGAGGATTCACGATGCAAAATTCCAACAGCATTTTGTTAATTTCTTATCTGAGTTTTAGCAAATTGAAAACTGAAAAAGTCTTTGATTTTGTGTTATCATGTTTATTAAAACTATTTAAGCTTTCATCAAGCTGTGCAATACCCCCTTACTCTCACCCTCATCACTATGTTGCCATAGAACCCTTGCATAGTGACATCTGAGCAAAATTCAGTGCAAATAGCTTTATGTCGTATCAATTACAAATCATTACAGTAGCTGCTTTATTATTGAAATGTATTATAAATCTAAAGGTGACAGAAAACACATCTAAGAGATGTGCCAGAAACAGAACGTCTAGCTTCAGCACACAGGAGAGCTGACCTGTTGTACTGAACTCTAGCTTTCCTTTTTAACCGTTTTCTTGACTTTCTAAGTCACTTTTTCCTACTTCACTGCATCATGCCATCATGACTTTGCACTCCCTATTTTTGTTTCCTTCAGTAGTAGAACCTGCAATAAATTAAGCCGAGTCAGAACAAACAAATGGGTGTCGGCGATTTTCAGTACATACAATATAAGCAATGAGAAACACTACAATGATATAATTGCATCAGACACTTTACCTACTTTTCCCTCTTCTTCTTGGGGCTGGAATGAGGGATGGGATGAAAAACGGATAAAGTTTCATGTTTAAAAACACATCACCTAAATCTTTTGGATGGGGAAAAAAAAAAAAGCAAGGTTCATTCGTTTTCTGCAAGGTACACTGGATGTCTCTGTTTTGACGAGACCCAACTAATGCAGGTTACATCCTGGTGTCTCACTAAAGCTGTAACGAATTGGAGAATGAAGTATGATACAAATATAACAACCATATCCCTTGAGAAAGTTAAAACAAATGCTGCTGTCAGAGAAACCAACTTTCACGATAGTTTTTCTTTTGGAGCAATTATTGTGTCTTCTATTTCCCTCCTTCCTACTACGGCTCATCTGTGTCCCCACATTCTTACAAACTGGAAACCAAGTACAACTCATTCCACAAACACAAGGAACGCTTATAAAACTATTGCAAAGCACAAAGCTGTCTTCTGACATAGTCAGACACTGCCTTTTACAGACAAGCATGAGATAGATCATACAGTTCTTCCCCTTTCAAAACTATAAGCTCTTTGTAAATGAGCAATGAATTAACCCATTCACTAGACTTGAGAAGGAATTCAGCGTTATTATTAAAATTTTGAGAGGGAAACTGAGGCACAGATATATAAAGACCTATTAAATCTAGCTCTTTTATGGTCTTACATCCCCCTAATCTTTAAAACATAAGATGCTTCCTTACTCATTAGTGTTAGAGTCCCTTTGGGAAGGCCTATCTGCTCCTCAGAATGTGCTGACAGCACAAACTACAGTGAAGTGAGTCAATGGGATGACAAAATATAGGGACAAAAATTAAGTGCTTCATGAAGGTGCGGAAATCACAATGAAAGACTTGAAAAGCAAGGGAAGAAACAGAGGGTGGGGAAGAAGGAAATGATAGCGATGGCAAGAAGGGAGGTAATGCCCCGAGATACTTATTCCTGAGAATGTCAATTGTATTCAGAATAAGAGTTTAACGACTGATCAGAAAATGTTCCAAACCCCACAGGTTTACATGAGAAACAAAGCATCGGTGATGAACAGCGCAGTAACGACACAGCTCCAGACTCTGGGCTTTCATTCCCATAGGGTACAGTGAACACTTCTGAAAAATTGACTGCCATTTCACTTGTCAGGTAAAATGACGTGCTCTGCAGCTCTGCTTCAGACAGATGATGTTACGAGCACTGATCAGTCCTTTCAGGACCTGAAAAATATTTTGCTGTCTTGGATACTAGCAGTAAAAAAAAAAAAATAGCTTGACTTTTTGGTTAATAAAATCTGCAAAACTTCACTAAGATTTCTGGTATTAAAGAAGCATTTCAATACACTAAAAGCAAATAAAATGGACAAATCCAGGACTGCTAATTACATTGCATTCTTTTACTCTTGCTTTCTGCTTTTAGAAATGTGCTGAGACAGATGAAATTTTTAATTCTTTCGAAGTAGCAACAACAGAAAAGGAATCTGCTTGGAGGGCTGCTACACAGGGACTGCAAAACCCAACCGACAGCGCCTTGGTCTCCTTTTCTGACCACTGCACAATCGCAGGGGTAAGCAGCTGCTCCCAAAGAAGAGCCGTGTTTCCTCGGAGTGGCGCTCAGAGGTGCTGCCCACGTAGGTGTAAATACATCTGTCCTTTGCCATTCGCAGTAACGCACGCCTCCCACACTTCTCCGAGAGAGGCAGATGGTCCCTGTCCTGTCGAAATATTACACTGTACAGACGTACATTGCTATGTGTTTCTGGAAATATGAGGGCAGATGTTAAATATGTTAAACACACGCTTTGCCCCCTGGAGGTTTAAGTTAAGGCTGCTGTCTCAATTTGGTCATTTTAGGCATGCCAGGCTTCTTGGATCCTAGGCATTCCTCTTAAATCCCCGCTTTATAAATACAGCTTTTCATGTTAATTTTATGTACTTTCATCAAATATTTTGGATGCAGAACAAATGAAGGAAGCCCTCAGCTTAGCATTACACACAGGCTTCACTGAAAATTACGATTCTCATTCATGAAAACTCTATTTACACAGCAGGGTATTTCCCATGACTGCTGTTTCTCCCCCTTACATAAGCCTCGCTGAATATTTTAAATTTAACTAGTTTTGAAAATTACACAAAGTAATAGGACAAGGACAGTTTGTGAATAATGAAATTTATTTAAAGAAAATTATTAATATGAACACTCTTTGAATTTGTTTAAGATATTTAAGAATAAAATATTAAATAAAATAATGCAGATTTACTACGTTTGCAATAGTTCTGGAAAAGCTTGCTGGTATCACCACAGAATTAAGGAAAGAGCCTTTGTAAAGGCCGCTGCACGAATTACTGTTGGAAGCCAAGTGCTTTTTTCAAATCATCACCTTCGCCCCTGCTCCTTCCCCTGGCAGACCCTCAGATGGCTTCGTCTTTTCTTCCTATGTCTCGTCCCACCCAGCTCTAAGCATCTGCTCCATTTCTAGGAGTCAGCCGACTGAGCCAGAATTACGCTGCCGTCCTTCCCTGACTGCACCTTTCCGGTATCTTCCCTCTTTCGGGAGCTGTAACTTGGCACTCACCTCCCTCCACGCACACCAGCCTCTCCCTGACCCTCTCCTCCTGCCCTCATCTACACGTTTCTCTGCTTCCCAAATTCACCTGATTGCTAGTGCCCGAAGTGTAATAAAAAAATAAGCAACTGAAACATGTCGTGCGTGTGGAAGAAGTGAAACCACATCATCGCCCTCATTCTGTTTCTTGACTGTTTCCCAAGCCCCGTTTACAATCCTCTATGAAGCTCGGGAACTTCTCTGCAGTCTCTGCACTCAGGGCAATTGCACATTTGTAGTTCACAATTTGACTCAACAAGCCCAATGAAATCCCTGTTTACAGCAGCAAAAGCAGGACGGCAGTGTTAGACAGACGTGTATAGATACACATGTCTATATGCGCATATATACAGGCTTCAGAACCTCCTCATGCATCCTTAGCGCACTAGACCAAACAGTAACACATTTTACAGGAAGTCCTCAACACTCAAGCACAGAATATGGGGATTTTTCAGGGAGAGAGGGAAAGTCTGCAAGCTTTCGCCTGAAAAATAATTCCTGGTTCGCGAAACACAAGGTCAAATTCACCTCACTACTGAGGTTTGAGCAAGAAATCACTGAAGCAAGGCAGTGCCCGCACCCAGTTTGACAAAACACAGGAAAATGTTATGAATCTGTGAGACTTCCAATTGTTTTGTCCAAACACGTTGCCATGCACTGTTTTTCTTAACCATATAAAAGCAATCTGTAAATTATTGGACCGATCAGATTTTTAACTAGAAAATATTCAGGCATTTGAACAAACAAAAAGTTAGAGGGGGAAAATAAATAATAACCACCCCCTACCTAGCCTTATGTATCAGCTGCAAAAACTGAAGATTTGAAATTTCTCAAGAGAAAAATACCAACTGCTCAACACTATCAATGAACTTAAATTGTTATGGTTTAAGAAGCTAAAAAAAAATGTACTTAGTTATTACAAGATACATGTGTTTAGTGGAGCTTTTCACAACAAGTATTTTGAAGTGCTTTATCGTGGCACAGTGAGAAGTACCAAAGTGCAGTTGGCTCCGCAATGAACGTCCACACGTGAATTTCACAGTACAGAGCAGTCGCTGCGGAGGAAAAACAAGGTCACGAAAACAGCAGGATTAAGTTTTCCCTTTATACTCAACCTGCCTTACTGTCTTTCCATTTCTGATAGCCAAAAATTGTTTCTGCTTGAAAAGTTTGAAAATTAAAATAAACAAATGTAAAAAAAAATAGTAAGCCATAACTTATTCTAATTAAATACAGCTCTGCTTATGTTTCATACCAATTCCTGGTGTGAAACTTCTCCTGATGTACAGTATTTCCCATATGGTAGCCTGCAAGAAAATGACCCACCCACATGAATGCTCCTGAATTTCTAGAGATTTGTTTTCAGGTTTTCTTTTCTTATCCAATGCTTGTTTTCTTTTCTTGTCTCCTCTTTCCCCCAGTGCCCTTTTGTTGCCACTAAACTACACAGACTGAAATGAAAACAAGGAATAAAACCAAGTATCACTAGTAAAATTATTGTGATAATCATCACAAATAACAATGTTAAGAAAGGTTTGCGCAAGCACACTTACCCTGTGCGTTTGGTGATGGTCCCCAATGTCATTGGCTGCTTGATCTGAGCAAGAGGCAACACCACGGTCAAACTTGGAAGCGGCAGCAGTCGAGGGTTCCCAGGATTATTGTTTGTGAAGTTATTGTACGTGTCCTGGCTGTTCAATTTACCTTGGTGGGACAGAGAAGCAACAAAACACATTACAGGATTTCTTCCTTAATTTATCGTTTCTAACAGCTGCATGAAATAAGTCATTGCCCAAAAATAGGGGAAAAAAAAAGGAATAATGAGCTCCTATTGTAAGCAAAAACATATCTAAAAAGTCTTCATTTCAGGTAAGCAAAATAAATGACAATGGAAGTGGCAAATATTTATTTTTATATATGGGTATAAGGTCCCCTTCCATGGAAGGAAAATCATTGCTGCTGCTGCTGCTTGCCTGGCAGTTTTGTTCACCAAATGTTTTCAAGTTTGATTTGAAGAAAAAGCTCTGGATTCCCATCGTCTATTAAAAAAAAAAAAAGTATCTGGAAGAGAAGTGTTTTCCTAAAGTACCACATACAGTGTTGGTAATTGAGAGTCCTGAAAAGGTCGCTTTTGTTGTCTCTACGGATAAAGGCACACATAACAGTAATCTTCTGAGCTAAGACTGGAGGAAAATAAAGCGTAAGTGTATAAAATAAAGCCATGCCAAACGACACGCAAAAATCAAGAAAGTATCAAAAAACATAACGAACTTTATATTCACTCAGAAAAGGAGTAAACAAAACGAAGGTACTCATAAAAAGGAAGGGGAAAACATAACAAAAAATCCCAGCAACCCTAAATTTAGCTTGTTCCAAAGAGGTCTGTGCTGGACAGCTGCCCAGTTTAGATACGCTTTCCTACTTTCTGCATCATTCGGTAGCCACAACGTTTCATTCTTCAGTCCAAAAAGGAAACTCGCTACAAATTTCATGGACAGTACAGAAAGAAGTGTGAAGAAACCAAAGAAAGAAGTTAAACAAAAAAAGGGGCCAGTCTGTTTATAGCAGAATCAAAAGTACTTTAAATAGACAAGCAACCATGAATTAAAAGGTTTAGATCATTAACTTGTTTTTCTGTGTTCCTATAATGCTGTGAAATGCTGGCTTTGTTCTCAATCAAAAGGGAGCCATATTGGGAATTAGGTTCCTAAACAACCGAAGCATTCTCCACAGATATTATCCAAAGCCCAGGCCAAGTCCATACAATCTGACTGAAGAGCAGCCACCTCTTTTCAAGGAAGAAAAACAGCCCAGAAAAGGGTTTCTCACAGGAAGCTGCCTGAAAAGCTTTAATGGTACTTCAGATGGATTGAAGATAGGAAAAGGAAGGCGGAAAAATCTTAATGAATGTCTCATCATCCTAAAGACACTCAATGCTTCCTTTACCCTTCTTTTAATACTATATAACTGTAAGCTTAGGAGGTTTATTTGTTTTATTTCTACAAAGTCCATAGACCTCTGCATCTCAGAAAAGCACAATAACGAAAATGATGAAATTACAAAGTGTATTTTCTGTTAAGTATCTGGCCTGAATGTTGGTCAATATGTTTTAAGAGAAATAGCACGGCTTTAATGAATAACAAGCCTATTGAAGTCTCGCAGAGCAGATTTCATTAACAGCAATTTTCCTGCACCATCTTGGAATAAAAAGAAACAGGAAAGGAAAAAAACAAACTCAAACAACCCAGCTCAGATTGAAATTAAGACTGAGATGCAATTAATTTTTTTAAGATGAGTTTCATAATGTATTCTTGTTCTTGTAGAAAGGAGTATGAGGAGTTTTCTGCATTGCTGTCTAATTAGTTACTGTTGCCTGTAATCAAGGCCTCTCTGAAAGTGTTTTACTCTCCCATGTTCATCGGACCAACTGCAAACGCTACACAGCAAACAGCTACAGAGGGGGCTCCAAACATCTGTAATTTGTTTTCTTTGACTTGTTAGGAATATAATGATTAACTAGGAACTACTGAACCAAACGACTGTGTTGTAACAGGCCTCTCTGCAGGCACCCAGTGCCCTCCGCTCCCGACATGGTGTACCTCTCCATATGCAAAACCTTCGGTTGACTCCATGGAGTATTTGCATGCAGAGAAATGAGGCATTTTCAGATGTCCTCCCTACACAAGGATGAGCTGCTTTATTCTCAGACAAGTTCAGGAATCCCAAAGCAGTTAAGGATACTCAGAAAGCAGCAGGATTAAGTCACCATTGAGGGGTTTTTTATTACTATACAGAAAGAACTGAAAAAGTGTAAAAGAGATGCTGAATGGGACCAGAACCTAAGATGATGATTCTTTGAAATAAACCATCCAGAGGTCAAGGATTTAATTTTTGAATGTATAGCTGGATCTGATGTATACAAACATCAATAAAAAATTCACTAAACCAGAGCTCAGACTGCACCGCACTTTGCAGAACAAACGCGATCAAAACTTCAGCTGTGACAAATGGAAAAGCTGGAAATCCCAACGGCTGTTGCCTGCTGATCTACATTTTCTGCAGCAACATTCAGCTTAACTACAAATAAATGTAATTACAAGTGATACAAGTCAAAAATTACCAGTTGCAAAGCTACAGAAAGGAGACACATTATTTCTGACAGTAAAGTTCCTCTTGCAAATCTGACTACAGTATTAGGACAGTGTGGAGGAGTAAGGTTAAAGAAAATCTTGCTTAATAGAAAAAGTAAAAATATTTGCTTTCATTTACACGGAATAATTTTTAGCTATTTTTATGATGAAATTGTTCTACACTGCTATGTCTTCACTGTCTGTTGTCTCAGACCGACCAGAGAGGTGCATGTTTGTCACTGTAACTGCAGAGCCCTGGGGATGCAGTAAATGGACTCCATGACCAGGGCTGCCCCTTTGCTCAGCATTCAGCAAAAGCTGCACTGTGCATTCTGAATTTCACTGGAACAAAATGGTGTCACACATTATGTTTAATAATAATTTTAAACCCCCATAATTTTATGGTGTGCCAGTGTTTCATTGGAAGAAAACAGTGTCACACTTTATGTTTAATAAGTCATTTTAAACACCCATAATTTTATGAGGTGCTGGTGCACCCATCCAGAAATTTGACGAAGTCACCCTCCACTCCTCCAGCCCCTGGAAGCAGGAAGCTCCTGCAGTTAGCAGGCACCGTGTGTGCACAGGACGGCAGGATCAGGCCAAAAGAGCACAAAGAATGCAGTCACACATCAACATTATTGCTACGACTCCAGCAGTTGTCGGTTCACTGTCGAAGGACAGGCAACAAATAAGCCAAAGTTTAAGTCTGCTGGAAATATCAAACATTTTTCACACAACAGAATGCAGTACTCAGTTTACCTTACCACTCATGGACGGTACATACTCATTTCTGTAAGGAAATCTTCACTTAGAACTGACAATTTCAATGCTAACTTGGTAGTATACTGACAGCTACACACAAATCTCATCCTACTGACTATTCAAGGAATATTTTCTATAGCAATTGATTTAGAGGAAATTAATCGCCATTGTAACACTTCGATGGCAAACACGCCTTCTCAGGAATTGGTCTGAACACTTCCAACAGAGCATCCCAAGCACAGAGGCACTTCCCCTTGGTGATCACCCAGAGCGTGAGCATAACGGCCCTCAGGACCCCACGCGAGGGATGTCCTCTCAGTTGGGCATTTGCCTTTCCATGCCACAGAAGAGATTTTCAGGTGACAGTTCTGGAGCTGTGCATGGAATACATTAATATCAGTTTGGGCTAACGTTTACTTTCCCCAAATGCACCCTTTCATTTGCCTGCGCTCCCTCTCCAGCTTGGGCCATGGCTCAGGACACACACAAAAGGAAGCACTTGCATTATTTTCACTCAAGTATTACATACTCAGGGTCCAAATTCCTGATCACAACTAGACCCAAGTCAAAGAATCTCCTAGTTACCCCTAATTCAGTCCTTTAGACTTCCATTGGAGAAAAATAAAAGAAAAAAAAGTCTCAGGTCTCAATTTAAGCCGCTGGTAAATCTCTTATTAGTGTTACTAAGGGACTTGCAAATAGCCAAGAATGTCATGGCTCTGGTAGTCTGATAGCTGACGTTTATTTACAAGTGCAGCACTAGCTTGGATAAATATCACCTACAGAGACACAGAAAGCACAGTCAGTCCAGTTCTGCCTTCATACCCATCTGCTGAAAACCTGCAACAAAACCGCCGTCATCTCATCCACCTCAAAACCTGAGCCACGCTTTTCCAGACGTTTTACTCCACAACTACTCCAAGGAAAAATGGATTAAGCTGAGGACAAAAGTGAAGAAAGAAACCAACAGTGGGCTTTGTTGTCAGGCGGAGGGAGCGGCTGCCGTGCCGGGCCGGGCGGGGGTGTTTCCAAGCCGGGTGTATTCCCAAGCCAGCCATCATTAACGGGCTCACTTCCACTGCAGAAAAAAGGGAGGCCTGAAAGCGCCGGACAAAAGAAATCCCAGCAGACAAAGAAAAAACAAATTAAAAGCACCATTATAAAACACAGATGCTATAAGGAAAATAAACTTCACAAGATTTACTGGTTTTTGACTAAGCTGGACATCTGTGGAAAAGACATCAGGAGCTGCTCCCAGGTAGGGCTCGGCCAGGCCCTGCTGCTTCATCCTCACCTTCACCCTCCTCACCACAGCCCATGGCGGGAGACCCGGCTGCAGGCAGGAGTCACTCATCGCTACCCACGAACCTTTGTCATTGCAATGGGATGTTGTTTTTATTGATGATTATTTTATTTACAATTATCATTAAACTTACAAAATACTCTTAATGAATGTGAGATTTAAACATTTGATCAAATCACACATCTCCAAGTTTTCTAAATATACTTTTGGGTATGAAAGTCATACTTAGGAGAAAATGTGCTAGATTTGTGAGCTTATAACACCGTATAAAAAGCATTCAATAACTGAAAGCAATTAATACATTAAACCCGTCCTCTTCTGACCAATGCAGAGCCTTGATGAATTCAGGCCAGATTTCAAGTTCATTTCTTTAGGGCTCTACTGTCAGAGATCACCTCTGAGGAGAGAGGAAGAGAAACATCCTGATTTCTGCATCCACCAATGACATAAATATACATCAAAATGCAGCATGGCAGACGCGTTCCTGCCAGCCCCGAGGAGCTCAT